TCAGAATGGACATGTCCATGGAGCAGTTAGCCGACACGTATCTCCAGGGAATCGTTCGACTCCACGGCGTTCCTGCCGAGATTATATCAGATCGAGATCCCCGGTTTACCGGCCATTTTTGGGAGCGTCTGAACGAGTCCATGGGGACGAAGTTGAAGTTTAGCTATGCTTATCACCCACAGACTGACGGACAGTCGGAACGGACCATTCAGACGCTTGAGGACATGCTTCGAGCTTGTGTTCTAGAGCGTGGTGGTTCGTGGGAGGAGTTGTTACCCACTGTGAAGTTTGCCTACAACAACAGCTATCACTCGTCGATTAAGATGGCTCCGTTCGAAGCTTTATACGGTTGCAAGTGCCGCTCACCCCTTTATTGGGATAAATTTGGCGAGAAACAAGTTCTCGGTCCCAAGTTGATCGAAGACACGGTATAGAAGGTAGCCAAGATCCGAGCGAAGCTGAGTGAGGCACAGAGCCGACAGAAGGCCTATGCTAACAAGCGTAGAATGGAGCTTGAGTTCAAGCAGGGAGACAAGGTGTTCCTGAAGGTCACGCCGATGAAGGGCGTTGTACGATTCGGGAAGAGGGGGAAGTTGCAGCCTCGATTTATAGATCCATTCGATATTCTCGAACGAGTTGGCGTAACAGCCTACCGTCTGGCGTTACCCCCAGAGCTCTCGGGTGTACACAACGTCTTCCATGTGTCGATGTTGAGAAAGTACTTGTACGATCCGAGCCACGTAGTGAACTTTGATGAGCTAGAGGTCGGGCAGAACCTGACGTACGATGAGCAGCCGGTAGCAGTTCTGGACCGGAAGGTCCGTGAGCTGAGGAATAGAGATATAGAGCTCGTCAAAGTTTGCTGGAGTCGTGACGACTCGGAAGCCACTTGGGAGAGAAAGGCGAGATCAGAGCTCGTCCAGATTTCGAGTTTTGAGATTTTCAGATGTATATATATGTACTTTTATTTTATGTTCTGTACATAGTTTTGTAGTAGGAGTTCTCGCCTAGCACCTTAGTTTTGTATTTCCGAGGACGGAAATACTTTAAGGAGGATAGGTTGTAACGCCCCAAATCAACAATAATATTAAGAACGGTTTCACTGCTCGACTATAAGTGAAATCCATAATTTTCAGAATTTTTCGAGTTATATTTTATATGCTAAATGCTCAAATATAATAGATTATTCTTTGTTATATGCTATATCAAGTTTAAGTCAAGATCAATCCATTAATTTGGGTTGTTAAATTATAGCTACTCAACTCGAGCAATTATTGACTTCGAACCCTAGTTTATTCCGAGTCATTTTTCTAGTAAATCCCGAGCATAGCCGAGAATTGGTATTTTGATGCTTATAATATTTTTCTAAGTGTATTAAAATATCAAAGTCGAGCCTTGGACATTTTATAATCGAGCCTAGCACTTAACCGAGCAGCTCGTGCCAAAGCACCCGCACCCGCGCCCAACCATGTGCCACCGAGCCCAAGGCTTTGTCCTAGACTTAGCACATTATTTCTAAAATTTTTCTAAGTGTTGAGAACCCTTCCTAACCCATTATACCCGGCCCAAGCTTATCCCATGCGAGCATCCCGCACAGACCCCGCGCTCAGCCCAGCAGGCCGCGCCCAGCAGCGAGGTCCAGCGCCCAGGCCCAGTGCGGCAGCGTGGCAGGTCCACTTCTTGAGCCCAAATCTTGAAGTTCCAGCCCAATTCCTTCATGACCGCAGACATGCGTGTATTATACACTTATTGAGGATTAATTTGGCTTAATAAGGCCCTAACAAAGGTTTAAGCAAAGTCAATTAGCATGGGGATTATTTTAATCATAGTGCATGATGGGATGGGATTATTTTATTCAAGCATGTTTGTCTTTGTCCCCCCACTATTTGGATGCCCGACCAGACCTGCTATTCCTCAGTCAAAGGCTCTGCAAAACTCCACCAAGATGCTCTCCAAAACGTGCAAGGGCGTTCCCAAGGCTTGGTGCTAAGTTCCATGCACATGGATGGGTGCAAAGTCATGAATTTGTGTCCCCATTGACTTACCTAGCTAACTCTGCCCCTCAGCCTATTTAAGGACTCTTCTTCAGTCCATTTTAAGCTCTTAGACTTTGGAAGCTCAAGCAAAACACTTAGAATTTGAGAGAAAAACCGATCACATCATTCCCTGCCCACTTGCGCGCGCGCCCAGCCCGGGGAAGAGAAGGACTGCACCTCAGGCCATTCCAAGCATATTCTCTCTGGGCTTAGCAACTTCTAAGCATTTTTTAGATTTTTCTAAGTCTTGTGGAGTTCATTAGCTCGGCCAAATCCCACTCCAACTCGAGCCTAAGTCCCAAAGTCGTGAACAAGCCCCATTCAAGCCCTAGTAGCCATTTTCGATTTTCGGTGAAGGTTAGCCCGAACCATCTTTTAACCATAGCTATTTTATGATATTTTAGGATTTTTCATGAAGAAAAATCGAGCCATGCATGTGTTTAAACCTAAGTTCCGAATTTTTAAATTAAATGGCCTTAAAAATGAAATTTGAGTCGCATGCATGCCTAAGTCGAGAATGATAGCTAAATCACCCTCATTTATCATGTCATTGATGGTGTTAAAGTTTGAGCCTAATTGGAGTTTGTTTGTTCGGCCATATTGTTCATGAAAATGTGTTAAATTGGACACCCGAGCCTTAGTTCAACGCATGCAAGTTATGACCCAAGTCTTAGCCCTTATAGTAATCATTTGTGATGTTAAATATTCGGCCATCTTCATATGTTTAAGAATTTTTAGTTGGTTCGATGAGTTAGGGCTCGTAGGTGCCATATAGGCCCTTTCGAGCCACATGCAAAATGATCCGAGTCATCCTAGCATTTTATATGATAAATATGCTTTTTATATCATATCATGATGTTATGTTATGCATGTCATCGGAAAAAGTCGCCGGAGGTCTGGCAAGGGCCGGCCTTGGTCACTGACCGCGCATGTAGTGCGGCAGTGCCCGGCCTAGTGACTGTCAGTGCCTGTGCCCAGTCGGTGCGAGGCACAGCAGCCCTCAGTGCACGCGACAGCGCCCAGCAGCGTCTGTTCGCGCCCGCGTGCGAGGTCTTGGTGTCAGTAGCGCCCAGCACCCTCCGACAGCGCCCGACAGCGCTGTCCACGCCCATGCACGTGCGGTCTCGAGCCAGCCGCTCTTGCCCCGCGTGGAGTAAGCCCGAGTAGCCCCAGTTCGCGTGGCAACGGCACCCAATGTGCCCAGGCCACATGCACAGCGCCCGGCAGCACGTGCCATGCTCAGTGTCGACCCAAGTCGGGTCTGTTGAGCCCAGTAGGCCTCGGTGCGTGGCCAGCAGCACGCCCGAGTGCCCTGTGACCTCGGGGACGCCCGACAGTGCCCGTGTGGCCTCTGTCCGCGCCTAACCCGCATCTCCGCCCGGTCCAGCCGAGCCGGTGGTCCGGCCAGTCAGCGAACCGGCCGGTTCGACCGGCGGTTCGAGTCCGTTTTGATTCGTGACTTCCGATCCGTGTCTCTTTTCAGAATTTTAGTATTTTTCCGAGCCAAGCCGGTCCAGTCTTATCGTTAGATAAATTCGAGCATCATAGCATATAAATAAATATTATGAGCATTATACTTAGCATTATTTTGCTTAAATGTTTATGTAGCCTAAGGAGAGTCGAGCCTCTGACCGCTACTCCAGTTGTAGCACTTGTGTTAGTTCAATTATCAAGTGGAGGTCATGTACTGGATTCCACATTATATATAATATCTGTACTATGACAGAGGTATGTTCGAGACAGTTAGTTCCCCAGGTGATTGGCCGACCTAAGGGCCTTTCGAGTTTTACTTGGTACCGGTGGAGGCCGAGGGCCTTAATATCCCATCGGGGTGTGCACACGGGCGGCCGAGGCCGAGGGTCTTTTGACCACAGTAAAGAAAGAAAAGAAAAGTTTACAGTTCAGCTCTTATATATTTATGTTCATGACACGTTATTATACATGATGTCTATTTCAGTACTGATCTTTAAGGAGCATAGTGGTTTGCTCACGCTCCCATTGTGTTTTTCAGGAGACGAAGTCGAGCGTGCCGGATGATCTATGCATGGCGAAGCGTGGTCATGACAGCGAGGACATTTTTATGCACATTTTATGTCCTTAATTTTATGATCATGTATCCATTCTGATATGTATGCATGTACTCTATGTATTTCTGTATTTCGGATGCTTCCGCTAGCAGACTTTAGACTGTGCGAGACAGTTCAGACATTGCATATGTGATTCTATATCCGTAGCGGATAGTTTGGTTGCATGTTTTATTTATGTATGTGAGCAAGTTAGGTAAAGTTTTTATCTGTGTCATCCCGCAACAAGTTAGTGTTTCGAAAAACCAAGCTCGCACCACCTTTCGAAAACAAAAGCAAAACATTTTACTCTGATTTTTCAAACTAGTAAGGCGGGGTGCCACAACACTTAAAACTCAGACTCAGGCAAAATTCTCAACAGGAGAAGTGGAATATATGAAGAAGGAAGTTCAAAAGATGAGAGAGATTAATGGGTCCCTCAATGATCAACTAACTTCTTCTTTCTCTCATAAAAAAAAAAAGTTGAACTGGACTCTACCAAAGCTCGAACTACCATCCTTGATAGTGGTTTGAAACTGTCCAAACGTGAGCATCCAGGACTGAGGAGGCCTACAGAAGTTTTGGTCTGATTACAGGCCTATCAACCTCTGTAATGTGACCAACAAGTTCATTTCCAAAATTCTTAATAGGCGTCTTGCCCACCTTCTTTCTTCTCTCATTTCTCCAAACCAAAGTGGTTTCGCTAAAGATCGGGACATTAGTGATATCATCCTTCTGGCCCAGGAGACGATCTACGACATCACCCATGCGGATTGGTTGAGGGTCCCAAACCTTGCGTTTAATTGGCAAGAGTTCCTTACAACACCCTTGCCTGAGGAATCTAGGTAGCGACTGGAGTGGATTAACCTACGGTTGCCGACGGGTCCATCCGGATTGCGAGATGAGGCAGTCGGATGATGTTGATTTAACAGTTGGTGAGTCGACTTTAATTTCGACGGGTTAGTGAAGCCACCGGGCCAGCGCGGCGGCCCGACTGATTAGGATTTGAGGGTGAATATGATGAAGATGAAGGAGCTGATTGATCATGTTTTCCAGTTGTCGATGAAGATGATTGAGTAATCCTCGTTCACCAGGCTCCTTGGACGGAATAAGCGGCGACGGCGAAGCAGGAAGTCTGTTAATCTCCTCGTCTTCTCCCAGCGATTTGTGTAGGTGGTGGCGGGACTGACTGTAGCGGTGGAACATGGCAGGGGTGGGACTGACTATAGCGGTGGAACATGACAGGGGCAGGACTGACTGTAGAGGCGGAGCAAGGCAGTGGTGGGAATGGCTGGATGGCGGTCGGCGAGCGGCTGGTAGAGTTTTGACTGGCAGGCATATTGGTTGGGGTCAGGATGTGTAGTGTGTGTGGGGTGGGGTGGGGGTGGGATAGTTGTGTGATGGTGCAATGTTTAATTTACCCTTGTATGTGATGGGTGTAATATCTAATTTATCCTTAATCAATGTAAATATTTTGATTTTTTTTAGTCGTTGGATGATCAAGTGTAATGGCTAAGAAGCATTCTTATTTTGTTTCACTGAGCACTATTCTCACTTGAACCCAACCCCATATATATATATATATATATATATATATATATGAGGTTGCACTCTTGTGAGAATGGTGCTTTGTGAAAGAAATAAGAATAAATCGTAGTAATCGGGATCGGATGATCCAACAGCACAAAAAAAGCCATATTTTTACATTCATTAAGGGTATTTTAGACATCTCATATACCATCCACATCAGTGAGCCCCGTCCACATACATATCCTGCCCTGCTATTTCATCTCACTCTCACACCCTCCCCCCTCTCTCTCTTATGTCTCCTCTCTTCTCTCTCATAGACACACAACACATCTCTCTTTCTCTCTAACTCATGGCCGGAAAAAATTACAGACACTGCCGGAGCGACGCACAACCACCACCTGAGTGTCCCGCCGCCTCTCATAGACACCAGCCATCAGCCACCACCATTGAGAACCGCTGTCAAATACCGTCGGCCACCTCAGCGACCACCCGCCATGGCAGTTGTTTCATATCCCACCGCCGAAAGCATCACGGATTTGGCCGCCTCCGCCACCGCCACATCGCTGTGTTTGATTTCAGAGTTCTGCCACCGCGCCATCGCCGGATCTGGTCCTCTTCGTCGAGTTCGTGGAGCTCCAGGTTGCAGGGGCGAAGCGATGATGATGATGTGGCGAAGACGAGCTGCTAAACGGTGGTCAACGGCGAGATTGACGGGGTCGAGAGCTGCCAGGTAGGCGGCGGCGTGTTACGGCGAAATATGAAATATTAGACATGTGCAAGGGACCAATATGATTAGACATGTGCGGCAAAGACGAGCTGCTAAACGGTTGGGATATGATTTGAAAATTAGACACGTGCAAGGGACCAATATGAAAGATTTTATCTTTTAATGTATTTGCAATTGAGTACTTGGGGCTAATGTGTAATGCAATGTAATCAAAGTTAAATAAATGTACAATAATGGTGTTATGGTGAGTAAATTTCACAATAAAAAATTACATAATATTATTATTTTCTTTTTATATTTTATATGTACATTATTTATGTTCAACAAACAAAAATATATAATATTAAATATATATAAAAAATGCTAAATATATTTCTATTGTATTTTACTCAATAAAAAATCACATATTATTATTATTTTCTTTTTATATTTTATATGTACATTATTTATGTTCAACAAACAAAAATATACAATATTAAATAAATATAAAAATTGTTAAATATATTTTTATTGTATGAGTAATTCACAAATGCAAAATATTGATTGGAATACACATTATTAAAGCTTCCTAAAAATTGAAATGCAAGTAAAAAAATACACACACACACACACACACACACAGATACACTCAAATAGACTGCACGATAACGTTAGATGAATTGCACATTAGTGTATGTACAAATGCACATTACCGATTGTTTTTATTTTTATATATTATGTCTTTTCAATCACAAATAATATAAAATATCGAATATAATTATTCAAAATGCTAAATGTATTTTTATATTTGCAAGGGACCAGTATGCAATTTTTTATCTTTTAATAAATTTGCAATCTAGTACTTCGTGCTAATGTGTAATGTAATGAAAGTTACACAAATGCACAATAATGTTGCGTAAGATGCACAATATTGACCGGGAACACGCACAATAAAAAAATCACAAAATATTTTTTTTATATTTTATATGTATTATTTATGTTAAACAAACAAAAAATATATAATTTTAAATAAATATAAAAAAATGCTAAATATATTTTTATTGTACGAGTAATTTGACAGATGCAAAATATTGATTGGAAACACATTATCAAAGTTTTCTAAAACTGAAATGCACGTAAAAATAAAAAATCCGTGCAATAGATTGCACAATAATGTTATACTAGTACAATACCCGTGTGTTACACGGGTGTTGAATTAGAAAACTTTTGCAAAAAATATTAAATTTTTTATTTTTATAAAAACTAAAATAATTTAATTTTATATAAAACATTACTTTGGGTTTTAATTAAATTGTCAAATTATATTTTTTTAATCATAATAATTAACACCCGTACATTAAATGAAAATGCCAATCTGTGTTGAATTTTTTTACTTATATCATATAAAAATATTGATATTACATCAGTACAAAAATATATATCTTAAATAAATAGATATAATATGGTGATATGTATATGCATAAGTGTAGAATATTTTTATTCAATATTAAATAAAATAGATTAATTTTTTTACTTAATTGGATGTCTAATACATCAAGTGTCGTATCAGGCGTGCTTCACTGTTTTTTAACTTTATATGTAATTTTAGAATTTGAATAAATAATTATTTATTTTTATTACATTGACAACATACCAATTAGATTTAAAATAAATATAATTTTTAAAAGAATGCATACCAATTTCTATTACTTTATAGTATAATTTATAGTTTTATTTGATATAATTCAATTTATTTTGATAAATAAATTTAAATTTTATTTATAAGGATATATATTACTGTTTTGTATTTTATATATATATATATAATAGTAAAATACAAACGGACTTCATAATATTAATTTAAATGCGACACACTAATTAAGATTTTTTTTCTTGACAATATTAACCCTATTTAATGGATGTTATGGTAAACGATAGAGATGGGATATGAAGAGACACTGTGTATTAGATGGAGGGTTAAAAATAGAAAAATATGAACATAATATCTAAAACGACATTTATTTTATCAATGATCAATTAAGCCAAAGTGACAAATAATAAAAATAGGAGCGAGTATATATTATTATATATATTAGTATGACACATGTTAATTGTGCGACTTATATGTGTTATATTATAATAACTTTTTCTACCTTATAACGTATAACTACATTAAACATAAATACATTAATTGATAAATAATTTTATTTTCTAATTAATTGTAATAAATAATTTTATTATTATTATAACGATAAATATAAATTATTATTTTATATATACAATATAGATGTCAAATCGAAGCTCATCAAAAGATGATTATATTATATATGTAAAACCGATAAGAAATACAAAAGTTATCAACTTTTAAAATATATTTGCAATTCAAAGGTTATAATAGAAAATGATATTAAAATACAATTAATACAAATATTAATTTATATCCAACTAACTCCAAAACATGATTTTTTGTCAAATAGGATTCTGAAGCTTGAGAGCTTGCCACGTAAGCTCAGCGCATTCTGAAATTATATATAGAGGGGATAATTTGCACATTATTGTCCGTTGGAATGCACATTATAGATTTCAACTGAAAAAAATATTATAAAGCATTAAATATAAATTTTAAATACTCAATGTATCTTTATAATATAAATAATAAATTATTTTGGGCATTTAAGGTAATTTTTTAAACTTATCAAACAAATCGATATTCATATTTAATTATATATTTTTTACTTTTATCCATAAGGAAGCCATCCGATGGCTCCATAGAATTACTGATTATTTAAAATGCTCGAAACAAAGAAACTAACTATCTTGAACGATAAGCATTGCAAAATCTATAGTTTAGTAAAGTTACTATAAATTTAGTGTGTATGTTAATCAACAATATTGTGCATTTATTTGTATTATAATGTGTACTTATGAGACTTTTAATAAATTACAAGAATACCACACATATTAAATTCAGTGTTCTAAAAGTCGCTAGGCGCCCGCTAGGCGCCCGACCAGTGCCTAGCGCCTAGAACGCCTAGTCGGGGCTTAGGCGGCGCCTAGTCGGGGCCCAGAAATCAATAGTAAATACCTTATTTTTTATTTATTTTAACTACCTACAAAATAAAATTATCTCAACATATAATAAATTCACACACCAAAGTCCAAACAATAATATTAATATATATTAAAGAAATCATGAGAACAAAATAATGTAATTAGTATTTAAAAAAATAAAAAAAAAAAATAAAAAAAAATTGAAAAATTGCCGCCGAGCCCGCCTAGGAGCGCCTAAGTCCGNAACACAAAAAAACCCGGTCAGCCCTCTGCCCTACCCCATACCGGCTATCTATCTCCGACATGCGGCCCTCACCTGAATTCCGTCGTTCAGCTCGATTGGCCGGTGGACGTGGCTGAATGAGGCGGTGTCGGGAATAGACGCCGTGAATTCCGTCGTTGAGCTCGTTGGAGAATCTCAAGACCATCTCAACGGCACCCGACTGAATAGAGGCAAAATGTCGGAGAATCGTGATGATTCCGGCGGCAACTGAATAGTCGGCGGCCAGATTCATGGGGATTCCAGCGTGGCTCGAGTGTTGGGTGCAGGGACCGTTGGAGATGATGGTGGCGGCAGGCTATGGAGAGGATGACGGTTGGTCAGAGATGATGGCAGCGGCGACAGAAGTGTTGGCTATGGCGTCGGCATCTGCGTCGGAGATGATGGCGGCGGGCTATGGAGAGGACGATAGTCGGTCGGAGATGATGTCAGCGGTGACGGAGATGATGGCAATGGCGTTTGCAATGGTGGTCTGTGGCTGTGCGGCACCGGTGGCTTAGTTTGAGTGTTTGTGTGTGTGTGTGTGTGTGTTTTTTTTCTATAAATTTAGTGTGTTGGATGTGAGAGAAGAGAGACAGGGTAGGTGACGATTGGAGTTATTGGAGGATGTGTATATGGGTCCCACTGAGTTGGAATTATTTATTATGACCCATTCATCTTTTATTATTGGTCAAATACATATATTTGACCATAATATTACTACTTATTTACTATACAACCATTAATGATTGACCATTATTTATTAAAATTTGACCTGGTCATAGCCATTGATGGAATGAATCCAATGGTCCACAATTATTCTTATTGATTTCATTGTGTTTCATTTTCATTTGAGCATACTTCTATATATATATATATATGGTCACGCTCCGGTGAGAATGGTGCTTAATAAAAGAAATAAGAATACATCGTAACCATTAGATCGAGTGATCCAACGATAAGGAAAAAACATATATTTTTACACTCATAAGGGTACTTTTGATATTTTTCTTATAAACACATGGGTCCACACCAACAGCCACTCATACACACCCAATACTACCTTGCCACGTGGCCACTATCTCATCACACGATTCACACCTACCACACTCATCCTCTCTATCTCTCACACACTCACACACAATCCAAACGCACACACACTACACACACAACACACAGACACAAATCAAAACGCACGAACACAACTACACACACTAGTGGTGCCGCCGTCGGCCCGTCCGTCGCCACCACCAGTCCGACAGCCGCCACCGCAAGTCCCGCCGCTGACACCGCTGGAAAACTTCACCAGTTTCGCTCCTCAGAATGAGCCCTCCGCCATCTTGGGCGAAGAAGATGGTGAAGACCATTGCTGGCCGAAGACGAGGTGAATACGACCGCGATCTTACTTTCTGTATGGATCGGTGTTGATGACCGACTTGGTTTCATGAGATTAAAGCTGAAGACTAATCGCCCCATTCCGTCAATAGTCCCTCAGAAATAGCTGAACTTAGCTCAAGTCGGTAAAAGTTAAACAAACTCCCGACTTCTAAATAGTTGAAGACAGAACCGACTGTCCATCCGAAACCAAAGACCGACTTTATAGACATCACGATTATTTAAAGATTATCCATTCAACGGACGCCCAAAGAGATCAAATATCCAAGCAGGAGGTGTTGTACATTTCCAATTGGACCATCAATCTACAGAATAATCATTGATGTTCCCTCATTACATAACACGCCGCTTAATTGAAGCAGCTCAACATTTAATACGATCTTATCTACCTAGGACAAGAAGACAAAAACAACCGTACTATAAATAGCATAATTTACGATTGTACGGAGATCTTTTTCCGCACATTGTACACGAACTTAAAATGCTCTCGGTCAAGAACAAAAAAATCGACTTCCTGTACTCTTGTGAACTTATCAATAATACACAATTTTATATTTATCTTTATTTAATCACATCCTGCTGTTCGTTACTTTGAGTTGTTAATTTCATACAACAACAGTTTGGCGCTAGAAGGAGGGCGGCCTCATAAGAAATTTGAGGTTAATCTTCAACTCACCATATACAAAACTTTAACGTGTGTGTTGAACAATCTCACATACGTGCTATCAACATGTCAAGTTCTGGGCGTCAAGAAAGAAATCCAGAGGCCGGAACCAGCCGTAATCCTACTCACACTACTGATGATACGACTATGCCATCCATGACGATAGATTACTCTGTTCTATTCCAAGATCCAGAGTTTCTTAGGAATCTATCTAATTTCATGACACAAACAAAAACAGGGCCAACTATGACAGTTCCAAGTCAAACGCTTGTCCCAAATCCTTCTATGAGACAACAGACGCGGCGTGTTCAATAGCAGAATAATAATCCTGTTGCGTCTCATGCAACTTCGCAACCACGAACACCTGGGCAACAACAAAATATAGTTGTCCACAGTCATGGTGTAGCACCAGTCAATAACCATCCTCTAGAAGGTATTCATCCTGAATTACCGCTGAAAGCCATTCAGGGCGTCGTCGACAACAATCGGTGCCTTCGTCACCGGCAACGTTCGACAAACCGACTTGCGTCATACTATCGAAAGGAATCGGTTCAGGCGTGAGAATGATGAATTACGTCATACTATTGAAAGAAACCGTTTAAGTCGCGAGTCGGAAGAGTTGGAAATGTTACGAAAAAGAATTGCCGAGTTGGAAACTCGACAAAATGGTTTAGAGTAATCTCAACAAAGAGCTCCTATATCAGAGAACGTTTGCTTAGAAGCTGAAACTCCATTGGCTTCTCATCTGACAATGGAACCACTCTCCAGAAAAGTTAAGGTTCCCCAGATCGGTCCTATGGTGGCACCTCGGATCCAAATGCACAACTCGGTCAATATACTTCATGGATGGACCTTCATGGGGCGACCGACGCACTTAGATGTCGGATGTTTTCTTTAAATCTGGGACCTCGGGCTAAAAATGGTATCACTCTTTACCTCGCTGTTCAATCTTGAAATGGCAACAGTTGAGAACGACTTTTCGCTCTCATTTTATTGGAGCCCGAGTATCTTTAATCCCAAAAGAGTCAATTTCTAATATTTTCTAGAAAGATAATAAAAGTGTTAAGGATTATATTACTCGGTTTAATGAATGGGTACAAAATATGGAGCCATGCCATCCAGAAACATTGCTGATCACGGCGATAGCAGGGTTGAAGCCGAATTCTCTGTTTCAATGGAGCATTTATCAGAATAAGCCGACTTCATTCCAAGAATTTCTAGCTCGAGCCCAACAACATATCATAGCTGAAGAATCAATGTCGGTTCCCAGTCTCAACTTCTCATCTAATAAGTCGGAGGTGGAGCAAGAATCGAAAAAAGAAGAAGGGCAAGGCTTTTAAACCAAATAAATCTCGGTTCGGGAATGCCAAGGACCCCGAGGTGAAAGAAGCAAGAGCGAAATATATCAATGAAGTCAAGTTGAGCTACCAGACGGTCTTTTCAGTTGGAGCCGCAACTATTTTCGAAGAATTAAAGGGGAAAGGAATTCTTCCCGATCCCCGACCTATAAGGACTCCAGAAGATAAACTTGACAAAACAAAGTATTGTTCATACCACAAGTCGGCAGGACATGATACTGACAAATGCCTTGGTTTACTCTCCGCATTGTTAAGACTTATTGGACACCCACAAGTCCAAAGATTTGCCAAGGCTGTTGATTATAAACGAAAAGGTAGATTGCCGGAACTCCCAAATGACGATGAAGATGATGATCGCCCTGTCAATCTAAAACGCGTCAGACAAGGCGATAAAGAAGTATTCATGCTAAACTCAGAGGAGAATGATCCTTCATTCTCGGTTAAAACTGAAACATTAAAGCGAAGTGGTTATTCTAATCCTCCTGGGTTTCATAATGTTCCTTGAGTTAACAACAGTAGCTGTAAATCTCTTGAATCACGTCGGCAAATGAAGGCTTATGCTCGACAGGCTTATAACTTAAGCAAAACCATACTGACGTCCGACCTCAGAGATAAAATCAATGCTCGAAACAATTGCCCAATCACTTTTAATGTAGATGATGCCAGCTATTTCGCTCACCCGCATTCTGATCCTCTTGTGATTACGATACCAATTTGCGGGATACCTGTACATCGGATAATGGTTGATAGAGGTGCGTATTCGAGTATTTTGATGCTCCGCACATTTGAACAAATGGGAATTGATCCAACCGAGCTAAAACCTTGCAAAGATCAAGTACACGGTTTTAATGGAACAATCACACCAACTCTTGCTGAGATAACTATGCCGATTCGGTTTGGAATTCCTGGACAGGCCTCCAAAGTCATTATGGAGACATTTAAAGTGATGGATCTTAAGAATGAATACAATGCCATTGTGGGGAGAACAGCCCTGTACAAACTTCGTGCAGCTGTTTCGATTTTTCATTACGTCTTTGAAGTTTCCCACGAATAACGGAGAAGGAACACATTTTGGAGATCAATATGAAGCTCGTGGGATGGTATGGGTAAAGCCCTGGCATGAACCACCTTCTCCAATACATATGGCAGAAAGTATCCGGGAAGAACGAGAAAAATCTTCAATTCTCAAGAACTCGGTACCTATTACTACCGAGATGGAAATTGAGCTGACTGAAAAGTCAGAAATCTCGAAAGCGGAATCTCATGATGCCTTAACTCAAGACCGTGGAAGACGTCCAGGGAAAGAACCGATCAACGAGGAAGATGAGCTCAATCCTCGAACTCAATTCAAGGAGAAAAATAAATTCGACCGAGCTGAACCGTCAGAAGAAATTGAAACGATTTTCCTTGACGATCCTATTTGTAATAAGTCACTTCGGATTGGGGCCAATCTTCATGAACCAATACAAACTCAACTCATCCAATTTCTCTGGGCAAACCCAGATGTGTTTGCCTGGAAGCATGAAGATATGAAAGGAATCGACCCCAAATGTGGCTTCACACCGACTTAATTTGGATCCAACAATAAAACCAGTGGTTCAGAAACGACGCAAGCTCGGGCCTGACCGACAAAAGGCTCTTGAAGAGGAGGTCAAGAAGTTGATTGACAACAAGTTCATTCAACAAACTAAATATCCGACTTGGGTATCCAATCCTGTTCTAGTTAAAAAGAGCACTGGAGCATGGCGACTCTGTATCGACTTCTCTGATTTAAACAAAGCTTGTCCAAAGGATAGCTATCCGCTACCGCACATAGACTACATGGTGGATGCTACCTCTGGACATGAATTGATGAGCTTCATGGATGCATACTTAGGTTATAACCAGATTCCAATGGATCCCGTAAAAGCAGAACATACATCTTTTTATTCCGCCCGAGGTCTATATTGTTATACAATGATGCCATTCGGTCTCAAGAACGCAGGGGCCACATATCAAAGGCTGGTTAACAAAATGTTCACTAAGCTCATCGGGCATACCATGGAAGTATATGTCGATGACATGTTAGTCAAGTCGGTCTGTGCTGCTGATCATG